GCATTTCTGCAGTTTGTATTTAGAGTCATGGATGCAGAGTTCACTTTGTCTCTGACGTCCTGTCCCTGTTGACGTCCTGTCCCTGTTGACGTCCTGTCTCTGTTGACGTCCTGTCCCTGTTGACGTCCTGTCCCTGTTGACGTCCTGTCCCTGTTGACGTCCTGTCCCTGTTGACGTCCTGTCTCTGTTGACGTCCTGTCTCTGTTGACGTCCTGTCTCTGTTGACGTCCTGTCTCTGTTGACGTCCTGTCCCTGTTGACGTCCTGTCCCTGTTGACGTCCTGTCCCTGTTGACGTCCTGTCTCTGGTGTCTCTCAGGAGCCAACAGTTTCCTGCAGACTGTCCACAGGAACCTGACGTCCAAGCTGCTACAGCTGCCGGACAAACACTCGGTGACGGAGCTGCTGAACACCTGGGCTCAGAGCGTCCGGCAGGCCTGCCTGTCAGCAGCCTGAGGCCCCGCCCACAGGAAACCTGGACACTACAATAAGACTGTTTACCTGCAGACCCAGCCCACGCCCCCTCCTTGTTGTTGTTTTTGTTTTATTTACAGTTTAAAGATTTATCTGCCTGAAAATGTTTAATAAAATCTGTTCAACTCCCAGAAGCAGAAACTGTCATCTGTTGATCAACAGGGGGTGCTGTTTGTTCAACACCAGAACCTGAGCTGGTCCTGGTTCTGGTTCTGGTTCTGGTCCTGCAGATGGAAATAAGCCACAGGTTTTGTAGAAAACATTTTATTGTTTTATCATCAGAAGCTGAGTGAGAAGGCTCGGTACGACAGGTTGGTGAACACRTCCACGTGGCTGCTGCTGCCGCCCACCGTCAGCACCTGCAAACACAAACACACCTCTGTGAGCCCGCCCCCTCCACACCTGACGCTACCTGTGCTGCGTTCAGGGACTCACCCGGTGCTCGGAGCTGTTGCTGTTCATCTGCAGCGTGTTGAGGCTCRACGACGTGCACGGAATCTGAGCTTTGACCTCTCCGCCCAGCAGACAGTGAGACACGAACGCACCCTCCCCCACCGCCAGGATCTACACACACACACACACGTTGTTTGTTTGTTTGTTTGTTTGTTTGTTTTCTGCTCTGAGCAAAGCCGGGTGTGTTTTCTCACCATGTCCTGGTGGAAGGCGGTCTGTCGCTGGCAGCCGCTCAGAGGAAACACTGAGGTCGGAGACAGAGAGCGGAGATGCCACAGAGACAAGGAGGGACCCCCTCCACACAGCTGCAGCACAAATAACAACAAGTAAACAACAACACAGGCACCTGAATGCACCACGCCACCTTTAGAAGCTCAGATTGAGGCCTAAAGAAATGAAACTAGGGATGCACGATGACTTTGTCCTTCTAACGGCCGATAACCGATAACATGCCAGGAGATAAGACGAGTTAAAAATAGGTAAGACCATAACAAGAATACACAAGACCAAAACCAAATGACTGTAAATTATACTATTTGAAATAAACTATTAGCAAACAAACAATTCTTAAAATATATCAAACAAAACAATTTCTCAAATGGTCATTGTTTTAAATAAGACACATTAATCATAAAAAGACGTTTAACACTGATCTGATCTAAACAAAAGAGAAAAAGTCATTCAACAAGTTCAAAACAGATAATGTACTAAAAGTTAGATTCAAAGTACATTTGTTTTTATTATTAATATATCATTTAAAACATTTTTCTACCTGTAACAGTGATTCTGAGAGTGTGAATGCATTATGACTGCATCATACTTACAGGCTGAAACACAGAGAGGTAGCAGCTGTTCAGCATGTAAACTGTGTCTAACGGTGGTAAACTGTGACTAACTGTGACTAACTGTGGCTAACTGTGGCTAATGATGGTAAACTGGCTAACGGTGGTAAACTGTGTCTAACGGTGGTAAACTGTGTCTAACGGTGGTAAACTGTGTCTAACTGTGACTAACTGTGGCTAACTGTGGCTAATGATGGTAAACTGGCTAACGGTGGTAAACTGTGTCTAACGGTGGTAAACTGTGTCTAACGGTGGTAAACTGTGTCTAACTGTGACTAACTGTGACTAACTGTGGCTAACTGTGGCTAATGATGGTAAACTGGCTAACGGTGGTAAACTGTGTCTAACGGTGGTAAACTGTGTCTAACGGTGGTAAACTGTGTCTAACTGTGACTAACTGTGACTAACTGTGGCTAACTGTGGCTAATGATGGTAAACTGGCTAACGGTGGTAAACTGTGTCTAACGGTGGTAAACTGTGTCTAACGGTGGTAAACTGTGACTAACTGTGGTAAACTGTGTCTAACGGTGGTAAACTGTGACTAACTGTGGCTAACTGTGGCTAATGATGGTAAACTGGCTAACGGTGGTAAACTGTGTCTAACGGTGGTAAACTGTGTCTAACGGTGGTAAACTGTGACTAACTGTGGTAAACTGTGGCTAATGATGGTAAACTGTGTCTAACGGTGGTAAACTGTGACTAACTGTGGCTAATGATGGTAAACTGTGTCTAACGGTGGTAAACTGTGACTAACTGTGGCTAACTGTGGCTAACGATGGTAAACTGGCTAACGGTGGTAAACTGTGGCTAACTGTGACTAACTGTGGCTAACGGTGGTAAACTGTGACTAACTGTGGCTAACTGTGGCTAACGATGGTAAACAGGCTAACGGTGGTAAACTGTGGCTAACTGTGGCTAACGGTGGTAAACTATGGCTAACTGTGGCTAACGACGGTAAACTGTGGCTAACTGTGGCTAACGATGGTAAACTGTGGCAAACGGTGGCTAACGATGATAAACTGTGGCTAACAGTGGTAAACTGTGGCTAACTGTGGCTAACGGTGGTAAACTGTGGCTAACGATGGTAAACTGTGGCTAACGATGGTAAACTGTGGCTAACTGTGGCTAACGGTGGTAAACTGTGGCTAACGGTGGTAGACTGTGGCTAACGGTGGTAAACTGTGGCTAACTGTGTCTAACGGTGGTAAACTGTGTCTAACTGTGGTAAACTGTGGCTAACGATGGTAAACTGTGGCTAACTGTGGCTAACGGTGGTAAACTGTGGCTAACGGTGGTAGACTGTGGCTAACTGTGGTAAACTGTGGCTAACTGTGGCTAACGGTGGTAGACTGTGGCTAACTGTGGCTAACTGTGGTAAACTGTGGCTAACTGTGGCTAACGGTGGTAAACTGTGGCTAACTGTGGCTAACGGTGGTCAACTGTGGCTAACTGTGTCTAACGGTGGTTAACTGTGGCTAACGGTGGTAAACTGTGGCTAACGGTGGTAAACTGTGGCTAACTGTGTCTAACGGTGGTAAACTGTGGCTAACGGTGGCAAACTGTGGCTAACTGTGTCTAACGGTGGTAAACTGTGGCTAACTGTGGCTAACGGTGGTAAACTGTGGCTAACTGTGGCTAACGGTGGTAGACTGTGGCTAACTGTGGCTAACGGTGGTAGACTGTGGTAAACTGTGTCTTTAGCGAGGGTGAACAGCTGGTTGTCATCATTTCCATCTTTAAATTGCTTGAGATCTGTGTCCTCTGGATATTTTATTGGATTTGTCCAAAGCTTCAGCAGTGATTTAAGTCCTGATGAGTTCTTGAACACTAGCTTGTTGTTGTTAGCATAACATAACATATACAGTATATATAACATAACATATTTTACATGTTCTCAAATTGGGACTAGTTGTTCTGAACTTTTATGTTTATAATTATAAAGTTTGTGTGTAACATTCAGGGTTAACTGGTAAAATAATATTAATAATTATTAAAATGACTGGTTGTTTTTCAGCACAGAGTATTATAATTATTGTTCTAGTGAGAAAGAAGTTTATTCCGACTCCACTTGAACGTCGCACGGGTCAGGCAGGACAGGGATCGGTTTGACCAAAAAGGATAAAAATAAAGGAGCACTMATCACCGCGGTGCTGGAAAACATGAAYATACTGTATATTATTGGTTCTGTTAGTTACGATATCGGACCGATAAGTATCGGCTCAGTAGTTATTGTGCACCCCTTAGTGAAACTTTTAAACCTGTGCTGCGTTCAGGGACCTGAGGTTCTGTGGGACATTTTTCTCCTTCTGTTCACCTGCAGCCACACCCCAGAGACATACGAACTTTTAACTCCGCCCCCAGTTTTCTCACCATCCAATCAGAGTCGGTGGTCACACAGCTGATCCACTTCCCGTACTGAGGCCGTGTGCAGCTCTGAAACACAGACTGAGGTCACTACTCTGGATGTAAACACCATCAGCTGACCATCAGCTGACCGTCAGCTGACCGTCAGCTGACCATCAGCTGCTCTCACCTCGTACTTGTGCACCTCGATGCAGTGAACGCACTGACCCGTCCTGCTGTCTGAAAAACACATCATCATCATCACCATCATCATCACCATCACCATCATCATCATCATCATCACCATCACCATCACCATCACCATCACCATCATCATCATCATCACCATCACCATCACCATCACCATCATCATCATCACCACCATCACCATCACCATCACCATCATCATCATCACCTGCTGTCACTCACCCCACATCCTGACGGTTCCGTCCTCACTGCCGGACAGAAGCTCCGCCTCCCGCTCGCGGACGCACACACAGTGCACGTAGTCGGTGTGACCCTTCAGGACAGTCTGTGGACACGACGCAGCTGTCAAGTGACGCGTCACCGTCGTCATGACGACGAGAGACAGACAGACCCACCTTAAAGACTCCGTGTTCCAGGTCCAGGACGTGGACGTTGTTGTCCCCCGCTCCGACCACCAGGCTGTTGTCCTGACAACACAAACAGTGTCCAGAGCGTGGTTCCAATAAAGTTTGATTGAAACGGAGAGGCCAGGTGTGCTCACCTGATGGCTCAGGGCCATGGAGTTGATCTCTGGGATCTCCAGACCGGACCTGCTGAGGCACAGACAGAGACGTGAGTTTGTGTTTGTCCTCCAGGGTGGACAGGAAGCAGAAGAGTTGTCCTCACTTGTAGTCTGGTCTCTTGGTCCACAGAGGCTTCACGTTCTGAGGAGACAAAGACGTCAGGCGTCAGAGACAGCAGCCTGGTTCTGTGGGACAGAGACCATCTGGACCAGTACCTTCTTAATGAGCTCGGTCCAGCTCCAGGCGCTGACCTCTCCGTTTCCTGCGCTCAGCAGGACACAGTCGGTGGACAGGAGACTGAAGACTGGACCTTCATGAGCTGCAGGAGACAAGAGACACACTGATGTCCTCACAGCCATCAAACCGTCACACTTTGATTTGTCTCGTTAAAAACCGTCTCTGCTGGACAGGAAGTCAAACCTGCCGTCTTTATTTTTTTATTTTTACATAAAAACGTCTTGTTTTTAGGAGGCGTCTCTTCACTAAGATCAGTCTGAAGAGTCTCCAACTTTTTATTTAAATATTTGTTACCACTTTACAATAAGGCTCCCCTTATAAAGAGTTTATAGGTTATTAATTCATCTGTAAACACTATAAATCATTAATAAATGTTTATTATGCATTAATTAATGACAAGAGAGAAAACTGTCCAATTACTAAATACTGAGACAAATCTGTTCACATACATATTACATCTAAAGGTGCTTATTAAACATTTCACATTACGTTACTACATTGTAAGTACAATAACTGTAAKAAACACATATTTTAACATATTAATATTGTACTGTATTACTGCATCATAAATATTCACAACTGTCTAAGGCAGACTTATTAAGTGTAAAACAGTACACGATGTTTTAATGACAAAAACATTTATAAAGGCCAAACCTTAGTCTTTAATGTGAAAATCATCATTTTTAAAACTTAGTGTTGATTATCAATATTTGAAATTATTGTTCAAACATGTAACTGTTAGCAAGGATGATGTATCAAAAAAGTAAAAAAAAAGTCATGTTAACACACTAAATAATCCCACCCCATCCAAAACACTGTACAATTTTACACTTTACAATAAGACTCCTCTTATAGATGGCTTTTAAAGAGTTTATAGATATCTTATTAATTCATCTGTAAACACTTTATAAATTATTAATAAGTGTTT